GTCTCTCTCTCAGAGGCAGGGTCTCTCTCTCAGAGGCAGGGTCTCTCTCTCAGAGGCAGGGTCTCTCTCTCTCTCTCTCTCAGAGGCAGGCTCTCTCTCTCAGAGGCAGGGTCTCTCTCTCTCTCTCTCTCTCTCTCTCTCTCTCTCTCTCTCTCTCTCTCTCTCTCTCTCTCTCTCTCATATGCACACTAACTGTAGACGACACACTGCAAATGCTTGAAATCAGAGTTAAAATGTGAAAAAAAAGAGTCAAAATGGTGGGGTGTTGCTCTCCATCAAGGCRTCAGTTTGCACATCTTGTGAGCTTTTAACTAACAGTGGTCTTCTTAATGATCCATTTTAAGTGTATGTGTGTGTATGTGTGTGTCTGTGCACGTGAGTGTCCAAAAAAAAAAACCTGCTCTTGGACGTCACTGTTTTGTATATTCTTTTGTCTACAGACCAAGGGGGCTTTTGTTAAAGTCCTGTCTCTCATGTGCATATTTGCCACCACAGTCAGCCAACAGGATGTGTTTCCTGAGAGGAAAAGAGGATGGGAAGAGGGGCCAAATGTAGACCTGTTTCTTCTCTTGTCTTTCCTTTTCTGGCTCTAGATCTCGCCGCTCTGTGTGCAGCAGTTTGAACAGTTTTATCAGTGTGGTCTGTGGCCATACAAGGTATAATTTTTGGTTGACACTTGATTGCTCTCGCGTTCACATTTCACTTGGCCTCTTCTTTTAACAGGGCCCCTAAAGATTTGGGGTATTTCCTGTTGCTTGAGTTTCAATAAACAACCCACATCTGTATCTGCTAAAGCAAAGATGGGAGGGAGAAATGCAAATAGAAACCAGATGGTTGTGGAATTTTCATTCTGGAAACTGAAGCTAAAGTAAAAAAAGAAGGGATTGATTTACGTCATCGAGCCAAAACGGGGAAAAGAAGAGGAGAGAGAACCAAAAGCACATTTTGTGCCTTAATTTCAAACTCATGTGAACTGTTTGTAAATTCGTCATGCTTTTTCATTGGCATACTGACTCAGGGTCAAAACCGGGCTGCAAATAGCTTGAGAATAACTCTAATATGCATCAGCATTGTATTTTTCCCTAAACAGGAAATCTCTTATCGGATGTACGTAAATGTGTACCAATGTTTGAGCTGTTGAAAAATAAAATGCCACTGGAATGAGCAATCCATGCGAACGACCCCTTCTCCTTTCTCTCTAGCAAAGCGGTATGGGAAAACATGGCACGGATGTGTGTGAAAACCCGCCGGCTGGACGTAGCACGAGTGTGCCTGGGGAATATGGGGAATGCCAGGGCAGCAAAAGCGGTAAAGGAGGCGAAGCTCGAGCCTGAACCTGAAGCACAAGTGGCGATGTTGGCCATCCAGCTCAACATGCTAGTAAGACATTCAGGTGTAAATGCTTTTATTAATGTGTTACCGTAAAGAAGATGAAAACTGTCATTGTTCTTTTATTCTTTTTTTTTTACTTAGCTTTGTCTGCACATGCCACTTTTTTTTCTTGTTTGGAGAATTTGATTTTTCAGATAAATTGTATAAATTAAAAAAGCAGGGGAAAGTAGGTAATATAAAACAACTATTAGAATATTTTCTCATACAAACCCCACTGCTGTCCAACAYAGAGTAAAGCCACACCTTTTTGCTACAAATAACACATCCTCTATTTAGGCCCAAACATGTCACTGCGCACAAGCTGCGGGACTTTCCTGACTGAAAGCTACTTTATTTTTCCATTAGGGGTGTACCAAAACAATCAATTCACATTCTCATTTACAAAGATTCAGAATCAATTTAAAATGTCCCAAAATCGATTTTTAAAGAAAAAAAAATAATAATAATAATAAAAAACTAAATCCAATGGCTGTCAGCCTTCAATTTTGTAACTACGTGGGACATCCTGATGTCACCACGCAGCTGGTTCTGGAATGTATGCATGCACAGAAAGCACCAAAACAAAGAGGAAACTACAAAACTGGAGGAAAGAGAGATTCAACTGACCCTGTCTTCATTGAATGCAAAGATTTGGGCTCATTTTAGTTTTCACTGAACGAGTTTGATGAGCTTCACTGTGTGCAAGGTTTGCAAAATGAAAATGAAGCAATTTGGGAACATGACGAATGGGCTCACATTATCAGTTTTAAATGAAAAATTGATTTTGAATTCAATCGTGGCCCCAAAAATCAGAATCAAATCCAATCGTGAGATAGTAAAAKATTCCCACCTCTACTTTCCATCTTCTTTTCCTGTCCTTCAACAGGAAGATGCAGAAAAGTTGTACAAGAGCTGTCAACGCTATGACCTGCTGAACACGTTCTACCAGGCCTCCGGCCGATGGCAGGAAGCTTTGGAGGTCGCTGAAAGTCACGATCGTATCCATCTGCGCACGACCTACTACAAATACGCCAGATACCTGGAGTCCATGGGCGACAAGACGCTGGCGCTTGCTTAGTAAGATGATGTGTAGTTTTATGACAAGGATGCAGACTAGAGTTTGTGTCTTTAATTTACCATAGACGTCATATGTGATCATAAGCCTTTTATTTTCTTCCCTCACAGTTATGAGAAATCAGACACACACAGGGTTGAAGTGCCCCGAATGCTTCAGGATGACACAGCATCTTTAGAAATTTATGTTAACAAAATGAAAGATAGGTGAGTTTAACCTTGATCTATATTTTTTGTTATCTTCTTCAGACAGTGTCAGTAAGTACACGGGTTAGGTTACATTTAAACAGTCAGCTTTATTGATGCAGAAACATCTACAAGTGGTGGGCCCAGTACCTGGAGAGCCAGTCCGACATGGAGTCAGCGCTGCAGTTTTACGAGCGCGCTCAGGATTACCTGTCCTTGGTCCGAGTCCACTGCTACATGGGGAAAATTCAGAAGGTAGTGCTGACTTTCATTTGCTTTAGACTTTTGACTTGAAACCAGAGATGGGAACTCGTGACTCGGACCTGAGTCGCGCTTAAGTCCCTACTATTAGAGACTTAGACTTGACTTGGACCCTAAAGACTTGAGACTTGACTTGGACC